GTTAAATTCAGTCTTGTGCAGTACAGTTGTTGCTTACTGAAGATTTTTAAAAGTTCCAGGAACAAAGAATATTATAATTTTCTAAGAAAGTGCTCTGTTGAAGAGGCTAAAAGATTAAATGAGAAAAGTGAGTGCAAACTTTTTGAAGACATACACTATGACTAACACTATGAATAAAACTGGCATTAGCCTAAATTGCATTAATCTTTTCTCAGCTGTGAAAACAAGCTACAGTCATATTCAGCATAATTCATCATAACGTGTCATTTTCAGTACACTACATTCTGGGTAGCCGTTTTACTTCTGCGGACTTTTTACTACTGTCAAAATCATTATGCCTCAGCTAATTCTCCCTGGCCTGTAGTCTTTTAAAACTTACAGTAAATCATAATAGTGATAAAAAAGAAATGGTTTAATTAAACCAGGAATGGTTTCATTGTCTCAGGGAATTTGCATGACAGGAGATGGGAAATGATGTGTATTGTGTCTGTTTCTAAATTCTGTAAACACATATACATAAAAGAAAAACACTAAGTTATTAATCAGGCATTTATTAGACATACTCCATAAAAAACTCAGAACGTGATAGAGTGAATTGTTGAAAGTGTGTTTTGTGCTGCTGATTTTAAGATATGTAAAAACCGCTGCATTTTTATACCAAAAATAATTTTTCACAAAAAAATTAATCAAGTTTAAGCCTTTCAATAAAAGGTAAATCCCGGAAATCCAGTGGACAATGGTTTCCAGTGTATTCTTTTTACTCATTTTTATGATGGATCATGTTACACAAGCTGCTGTTTTGACTTTATGGAAGATGGGGCGCTCTGACATTAGAAATCACTTTCCCACAGATTGTTATCTCCAAATGGAACTCATGTTTGGTAAATTAAGCAATGCACAAAATTTTCAATCTGTGTTATTTCACTTTAAAGTGTGCACGGCCAATACACTCAAGTTAATCCCTTTTTGAATGGCTGCATTCATTTTTCATTATGGTAAGCAATAATAACCACATTCATCTGCTTGGGAAAGATGAATTTCTGTCTTCAGTTAGGGTTGTGTGATGGTTAAAATGTAACGGTTGTGTTGTGTTTTTTTTTTTAATTTCAATACAATGGTAGTTTTGAATCATTTTCCTCCTGTTGTCAAATAAATCAGTTTTTGTAAATGTCACCCTTGAAAGAATGAAGTTGCGGAGAACTGGTTGTGGAGAATTGAGGGACAGGTTTCAACAAGCCTATGGCATTTCAGAGTCTATCATTATGAACAGATCCTCTGAGGGTTAAAAGGTATGGGTAAAAACAAAATAGCTTGTTGGCATCCCAATCATTTACACAATGTCCAGAGAGTGCTACTGTGTTGCAATACTGTAGGCATGTTTGTGCCAAGTACAGGATTATCAAATCAAGCTTCTGGCCTTTGGAATGAATTTGCAGAACTGCTTTAAAATCAGTACTGAGATTTTGCGTCATTAGACTGTTCTTTTGAATATTAATACTTTTACCGTGAGGATCCGTTTAACTTTTGTTTTTATTTCTGTTTAAGTAGAATAAGAAGCATTAGTTTCTTAACACTTCTATTGATATCTATTGTCTGAAAAGGTTAGACATTAGTTAGAAGAAGAACCGACAGAGGTCAAATCAATACCTACTGAGAGGCACTCAAAACACAAATGTTCCAGTACTCATTTTTTGCATTTTTGATGCCTTTCTGCATACATTTAGTACCAGTTCTTGCTGAAACAACTCAGCCATGAAACTGTGATAGAATGAGATTCTGTTTGTCACTTTGTACATATTAAGATTTTCCACTTAAAAAAGTGAAAAATCAGTTTCAACTTTCAATCAGAGAAGTTTCAACAGTAGTAATCATGTAGTAATACAATATTCATAACCTTTTAATTGAAAAAGGTAAGTTCCATGTTTTAATTTATGGAATAAGAGCATTGTGGATCTTGCAGTTATCAAATCACACAACATATCTGTATGACTAGCATGATAAAATGGTTTAATATGTGAGCTAGGAAATGCACCAAGTTGCTTTCTAATAATGGTTATAGTCCACTCACTAAAATAAGGATGGAGTTTTATTAAAATAAAATAGAAATGGCTACAGAGGTTCCACAGTGCTGGGGCCTGAGTTCCAGATCTCGGGTGCATGGAGTCTGTATGTTCTCCTCTTGTTCACGCGGGTTTCCTCCCGGTGCTCTGGTTTCCTCCTACAGCCCCAAAACTTACTGCTAGGTTATTTGGCTTCTGGGAAAATTCACATCAGATGTGAGTGTGTTTGTGTTTCTGCCCTCCAATGGACTTGCCCGTCCACGCTGCACCCTGTACCCTGTCTTGTGACAGCTACAACTCCCCTGCAACCTTCATCTGAAAGACGCAGAAAGGATTTGTGCTTTCAGACATGCCTAATTACTTGTCATTATTTTTACTTTTTAATTATTTGTCATGAGAATTATTTGTACTTGCACTTAGCATCTGTACTGCTCAAGCCCGTCACCCGACTGGCATCCTTCACCCTGCGGCTGCTGAGCCCACACGATGGCTGCAACCACTAGTCACTCCCAGGCCTGGCTCCGGGGTGGGTCCCAGTGTTCCTGATCCGGGTTTTTAATGGAACCACCATGGGAGTCTAGTTTGGATCACTGTTTGTCTGGCCCCTCACCTTAGACCACTTTCCCGAGGGTAATCCTAAGAGGAGTGCAAAGCTGCCAACAAAATGCCATTGCTCTAGCCTCCCTGGGACACCACAACAGGACCACAACCCCAGAGGGACATGGGAGCTTGCCTTCCCTGTCTACACATGCTTTCTTGCAAACTATGGTCACTAGCTTTGGGGAGCTACAAGCAGTGGAAATGAGCTTTCTCTGCAGGGCTGCTGGGTTTACTCTCCATGTCAGGGTGTGCAGCTCACCAGTGCAGGAGAAAATTGGAGTCGAGTCCCTGCTCCTCTGGAGTGAGAGAAGCCAGTCGAGGTGGTTTGGGCACCTAGAGAAGATGCCCTCTGGGTGCCTCCCACTGGAGATGTACCAGACACAGCCCACCGGGAAGGTCTCCCAAGCAGACCCAGGACAAACTGGAGGGGTTTTATCTCTCAGCTGGCCTGGGAGCACCTGGGAGGCGCTGCTGTTTCTGGGGAAAGGGCAGTCTGGTCTGCCCTGCACAGCCTGCTTCCACCACGACCCTCACCAGGAGTGAGTGGTTAGGAAATAAGATGAGATCAGATTTATATAGAGTATAGCACCACCAGATTTATATAGCACCACATTTCATTTAGATTTGCATCTCTAATAACTAAGCAAAGTTTTATTAAATGTTCAGTGTTTCTTTGAATTGTCTTGATCTTTCCTTGTCAAATTTTCTTTTGAGACATTTTAAGTTTCTTTTTTTTAACCAGGCACATTGAATGTGTCAAAACAAGATCACAAGATCAAACAATTTTATACATAATGCGAGACTGCATGCAGAGTTAAAAAATAGAAAATGAGTTAAAATACAAAACCTGCAGGATGATGACAGCTGCCTGTATGAAACAGATATCTAGTATTGTGTGTACAGAATGTGGACTTTAACCATGTGCTGTATTCCAGCTGTAGATGTTATCTGAAATCTGAATAATCTACTAGTGTTATCACTGTCTGTCGTTACTTAATTTCCTTCAATATATCCAAACAACCTTGGCTATTATCATTCAGTAACGGCAAGATCAGCACTGTGAAATTTACCCTTGCACCAGTTTAGATCAACATTCAAGTAACCCATCTAGTACATCACATGTGAATAATTATATTTCTTAGTTATGTCAGCATATGACATTATCCAGCAAGACCCAAAAACCTTCTGACTTGTAGGAATGTCTCCTATTTCCAATTACAACATGAAAGCTCTAAACAAATTGCAAATCGACATCATTAATCTAGAATGGATTTTAAAAGCAGACGAAGCAATCTGCAGCCCAGTCTTGGAGAAACCCAATCAAGTTTGTCTGACGAATTGATGAATCAAGCAAGATCTGTTCAGTTGAGAGAACTCTTAAGCTTAAGGGTTGAAGAGCCCTTAGATTTCAATCCCAAACGATATCTTCCTGTAAATAACTTAATTTAACAAATAACTGGTTTAATGTTAATCAGAATGGAATTGTTCCATCTCTTTAGAAACGGGCGATTTGATTGGACCTACAAACCCTGCTTGACTGGGACTGGTTCTCTAGGAACAGGGCTGGACATCTGTAAACTACACAGTGATGAAGTGCTTCATGAACTGTGGCCTCCTCATCTCTAGGTCAGCCTTGGCAACGATTGCAATCCCAAGACCTCACTGCAGCTAATTCTTTACCGAGTCATTGGTGGCACCCGTGTTAATAAGTGTCAACTGGGATGTCATTTACTGGAAGTTTCAAAGTCCTGCAATGACATGGAATTCAACATTCAACTCCCTTGCTTAGAGATCATGTAACATGGGTTTGATACTTGCTCCAGAGGCATCAACGTAAATCAACTGTGACCAAATACCAAAAGCTGCCGTGCTGCTTGCCTGCAGGACAGAATGTAGAAAGCGTAGGTTGTTTTAATCTGAAAATCTACAGCACAATCTGAATATGTCTTTCTTTGTTTTGACGTATTGTAAACGGAGTGCATTTTTCTCACCGACCTTACCTTTCATTATGTAAAGCGTGCAGGGCATGTCCAAACACAGAGCAATGTGGACAACCACTACGATTTTTAAATTATATTGTTTTGATCATAAAATCATCACGGTGAATACAAATCAGGAATTGCAAAAACGCAACCACAAAAAAAGATCTCCATTCTCACAAGAACTGTCACAGACCAGGGTACACTGCGTGACCGCTCTGCTGGAAAGGCGTGGACCAACTCCCCAGCAACTGTCATCCGCCCTTAGCAACCAGCACCTCAGGAAGTCACGCCTTAACCAATCAGCGCCGTCGATATTAGGACGTGCAGCTACGTAACACTTCCAACATGGTGTCCATGAGGAGGCGTGTGTGACTTTGTAGCAGGGAGTTCTTGGGGGTGTAAAAAATAAATAAAAATAAATGTAATCGCGATTATTACCAGGTTATAGTTGGGGAAAACAGCTACTTCTTTGTGGTGGGGAAAATGGGTCGGTATTCGGGTTTGTGTAAGACAGTATTAAAGTAATAATTTTTGTGATAACTTGTCGACTTCCATTATTTAAATCCATGGTATTATATTCTCTTTTATTAAGATTTTATTTTGCTTAGCTTTGCGTAGGGGGACTCCGTACGAATGCATATGTGAGAGCAGCTGTGGGTGGACGGAATTGAGCTGTCTCCATGTCGTTTAATAGGGTCTCATCGGCGTGATACTGGCTGTCAACTTTTCACAGTTCAGATAAGCCGAGACGAGCGAAGGGGAGGGAGGCGAGTTTGGCTTCAGGAGATCAGGGTCAGGGTTGTTTCAGCAGTAGAGGAGCGCAGCCGGGCAGTTGTCTTTTGAAAATGTTGCTGTCCTTGGTTGTCCACACGTACTCTCTGCGGTACTGGTTTCCCGCCGCGGTGATGCTGGGCACTGCCCCCGCTTACCTGCTGTCCTGGGTCGCCTGGCGGCTCCTGTCCTGTGTCCTTCCCTGCCGCTTCTATCACGCCATAGACGACCGGATCTACTCCGTTTATCAGAGCATGGTCCTGTTCTTCTTTGAGAATTACACGGGGGTGGAGGTGAGTTTTGAATTGATTGATCCTTCCGTTGATCTATTTATTTTTTTGTCTTGTATCTTCATCTCCAGATGTCCTGTGTGGACAGGAGGAGTACTTTTTGCGTCACATTGTGTTTAATCTCTAATGTAATAATACCGCAGGAAGGGTCTGTTAATTTTCAGAAGCGGATTAATGCTGTTGCCGAAGTACCTAATCACAATTTAAAAGTTAGCCCAATCTGTAGTCGGGGTCTGTGAAACTGATTCTGGATTTTACTTTTAAATTCATCTTAGTTTACCAAGAGGAAATGTATTGTCAACTTGTAGTCGTAATGGTAAATCAAAAGTACAGTTTGCGATTACAGTTCCTGGCACGCCTAAAGCAACTATCTAGACTATGTAGGTGTGAGTGGAATAACGCAAACATTACTCAAGATGTATTCTGAGGGTGGCACACTCAGTCCGTCTATACAATGTGTGAACATGGACAAGGATTTTACCATTACGGTCAATCAATGATAGGATTTTAGAGAACAAACTCGTTGTGTATTAAATGAAGTTAACCTGCTTCAACGGAATCTCGCTAAATCTGGCCGTTTGATTTAAAGAAGAAAGAGCACCTGACAAGGCCACTCCATAGTCGGGACTCTTAGGCCTAATTACTGTCCGCCAGGCCTGTGTTGTGGAAACACAGCACCGAAGTTGCAGCCCGGCTAGGAATTCGTCTTTTTTTCTAGAAAAAAACTAAAAATAAGTATGAAATATTAAATTTGAATTTCACGGTCTACTAAAAATAGTTCACGGCGTGGGGAAATCGAAGTGATTTCTGAAACGCCTTACCTCTGTCCACTCCTGACAGGAGCTAAGATTTGTGGGCTTTGAGTGCCGTTGTTGTGCTGGCTCAGTGCTAATAATCCCTCTGAGTAAGGAGCCCGCAGTCATACCGGCCAAGTGTAGGAAATCAGTGCCCCTAAAATAGTACCAGACTTCACCGAGCTCAGATCTGTCGTTTTGGGGGGTTTGTAGTTACAATTGTCCCCTCCCCAGAAGCCAGTGAGCTTCTCAGAGCAGCACTTGGAACAGAAATAGTGCGTCTGCTTTCAAAACTAGGCTACCGTGTCTAATGCAGTGCCTGAGGGTTTTTAAACTTTGAGAAGCTGAAGGGGGTATACTGTACTCTCTGTTTTGAGTCGCGTCAGTTATTCCACATCTATGTTTAGTTAACATACTGTACATCTAACTATAGTTAGATCCACAGACTGGCAGTTTGTAGATGGTCTGTACATCTGACAGCATCCTGTCAAGTTTGCCTGCCGCTGGGAGACGTCTGTGGTGTCCGGCGCTTCAGCCAGGTTTCTCCTGTGCTCCGCGCGTTCATGTGTTACAAGTCCCCTTCGCGCGGTCACGAAGTTTAGACTTTTTATTTACATTTTTTAGTTTTAGAACATCTCTAAAATTTAAAAACGTTATTTTGAGTCATCCCGTGCGCATTGGCAACATGACATTGACATTCATATGGGTTTTTGAAGGGCTTAGTATGAGAGGTGCTATTCAGAAAAGGGTGAAAGTACATAATATTCAAATCAATTATGCAAAATACTAATAACGATATCTACGGAGGAGGCGTACGTTATATCCAAATAAGACAAGTAGCTGTGTCCTTCGTACTATACAGTGAAATTGAATAGGTTGTTATTCTGAACCCCTTGAGCATAGGATTTCAGAAAGCTAGTAACTAGAAATAAGCGTTTGACCTGCTGTACGCCATCACAACTGCTCCTGGCGAGCTTCAGGTTTGATATGTAGCTGTTGCTTGAATGGACTGACTCTAGTAGGAATCAGAAGAAAAAGTCCATCTTAAATTCCTTCTTCTACTGGATTGCTGGAAAACCAAATGCCAACTATTCACGCTTTACATCGAAGTATTCGTCTTTCCCAATATTAAGTGTTCAGATGTTATTAAATTGTCCTTTTCTGGTTTGTGTGAGCCTGCTTTAGATGTAACATTAAATTAACCAGTTTTATAGCCTGTTCAACACACTGGAATCTTAGAATAATTAATTCAACATAAGTTATTCTCTCCTGCGTCAATAATGTTTACAGGTTTGTTTTTTTTTCAGATTTTTTGGAGGGTAGATGGTTAGTACTTTGAATTGGATTTTAAAACAATAACCAAAAACTCATCAAAATGAGAAGTAAACAGGAAAATGTAATCATTTCCGTATTCCCAGGCTTTGTGGCTCGGAGTTTGTAGAACAAGATTGAGTGTTGGAATTATTTGCTCACTAAGAAACATTTAGTATTTTCTCTGGTGTGGCTGTAAGGTATCTCATTGTAAATAATTTAAGACATTGAGGGGGAGCTGCTAAATCTGTCCCTTTGACTCTGTAATTAGACCAGTTAAAATGGTAGAAGATGATGTTACTTTCCAAGAACCGTCTCCTGCAACAGGAGCTTAAGCAGTATTTGTAGTGCACTGTGTTACCTGTACAGCAGGTCTGAGATACTGGTGAGATTTCTGGTAGATACAAACATGAAGACAAAAGGATTAATTCTGCCTAATATCCAGGACAAATTCTCCTGAGGCTCTAGCTGGGACTCTGAAGTGGTGGCACAAAAACAGCTTTTCAAGGGTTGATTGTCTGTAAACATAATAGAAGCACCTCCATCTGTTTTCTGAATGCTTCTTCCAATTCCGAGTCGCAGGGCAGCCAGTGCCAATCGTCATAAGCAGTGAGCACAAGGCAGGAAACTCTCTGGAAGGGGCACCAGTCCATCGGGACACCAGGGCTACGTTACTAAGAAGTCAGTTACTCTACCAGCATGTTTTTGGAGTGTGGGAGGAAACCCACGCAAACACGGGGAGAACATACAAACTCCACACAGATAACTTCCTACCGTCCAGAATTGAACCCAGGGTCCCATTATAGCACCACAATATAATTATGTAGTTCACCAGAACATTTGAGCTACTACATTCTGGTATTAATTTAAGTTGAATGCATTTTGCAGATGTCTTGCTGACAAGAAAAAATTTAACAAAACATTCACATTTATTGCATTCAGTAAACTAGTAAATAGTTGTTTCAGACAGTGGGGCGTCAGTGTATGTGCTTGCAGCTGTATTTTGATATGCTAGGATGAGAGAATGTCCGGTAAGGAGGCATGTCATTGTTGATTAAGTATATTTTGACAATTTGTTCCACTTAGATTAGGGCATAATGTTCTGAGATATCAAGTTTAGTTCCAGGTTTTGTTTTTCACCTTTGGTACACCCTTCTTATTCTTTTCATTTTTCTGAGTCATGGTAACTGGTACACTACAGGACTGAACAAAATCAAAAATGTTTCTGTCTGGATAAACAGGATCAGCAATAGCAGGAAAAACGAGTTTGGAATGATGTGCCTCAGTGAGATCTCAATCAAATTAGTAACAGCATGATTGCTGTTTAGATTTGTTTTAGGGTACATATCCTGCATTCAAGACAAAAGTATAGTGGAAATGTATTTTTATTATTTTAAGCATAGGAACAGTATTTGTAGAACAGATGTGGATATAAAAGAATGGAAAATTAGTCCCAGTCTTCCCCATCTTTTTTTTTTTGTTTAGCCTTGTGTCACCTCTGTCAGGGAGCATATTTGGGTCAAACAAGCATGATCTAACACTGGGCTTGACTTTGCTTGATTAAATTGAGAGCCAGTTTTTGTGATCATCTCGTATCTAGAATGTCACTACTTCATATTCCCTGATGGTCAGTGAGTGGTATGTTGAAAGATGTTCTCCTTTTTTTCTAGAATGAGACCACTGGTGCATATGTTTAGAATTTGTACAGCTGCTAAGTCTTACGTACTGCTAAGGACCCAAACACAGCTGTGTTTCTCCATGTTCAGTTTTGGGATTTGGAATGAAAAATGTATTGCCCTGGCTGGGGAGGGGGAGGGCTTCTTAGGCAAGAAAAAGCTGATTGTCCTGAGACAGTGAAAATGAGATCTGATCCATAGTCCGCAAATCTCTTCTGAGTACAGCTCAGCCTGTAAGGTGTGTGTGTGGGAGTCTAGCTCATTCTCCACAGAACACTTATAAATTCATCTCGTATTCCACTGGTCTTCAGTTAAATAGTTTGCCTCAGTATTTACTTTGTGAAGCAGATGTTTGTTTCCTTATGATGTATCCGAGACGCTGATCAGTGAGGATTATATCGTCAGTTCCACACTTTCGCACACATGTTTCGATGTGTACTTGGTGGTGTAAATTTTCCTAACACTTTAATCTTGAAGTGTGCAGTGAGATTCAGCAGTTCCACCAACCAGTTTAAGCTTTGACAAACAAAAGCATCATGATAGATGTGTAATGCACGTATTAACGTATTGCATCAGTACTTACTAACATTATAAGCACATGTACATAAATGATCTAATGATTAATTGATGCTTTAGTATAGTAAGGAGTATTAGTTCTTAATTTTGCAACAACAAAATGTATTCCAAGGCTCACTGTCTTAGCTGCAATACTGAATGCACATCTGCACAATGCACATCTGAATAGCCCATTCCTGTTTCCTCTTGAGTTGATCTTGCTTAGGATGGGTATACATTATGTTTGGCAGTTTGTCTTGCCACATGTTTTTGTCTTTTGTACCAGTTTGTACTGGTACCAGTAAATACTACGCAAAGCAATTCATTGCTGGAAATTATTCCCAGTTGTAAAAAGTAAATATGGAATCCAAGCACCATATTTACTTTTGTCAAGCACCCATTGACTTCGAAACCTCAGCAGCATAGCTTTGCTGGAGATGAGCTAATCATCATTATTTGTTTAAGAAAATATACCTGGCTATGTATAAAACATTTTGAGGATTCAAATCTGCATTTGTGGGTTATTATACATGAAGATATTATTTCTATAAGTGAAGCATTCTAAATATTTGCTGTAACATGATACTGCGAATGTACTCCATCTAACCTTGTTAGGGAAGACAAGCCCTTCATACGGCCTGTAGTTTTGGAATGTCCAAAAAAGTATCCTGTTTTTTCCATTTTTAGTCTTCAGAATTTTTTGGCGAGTGTTATTGAATGTTTTGTTTTCAGTATTCATTACTTTCTTGCCTACAAGAGATGTTGAGCTATTTAGGTCTGTGGTAAGTTATTAAGCTGCAGTTTCAGTCTATTACACAAACTTTCATATTGCTTCATATTAGAAGGTTTTTTTAACAATTTTTTATTTTATTGTAGGTGGTTATATATGGCGATATACCAAAGAAAAAAGAGAATGTGGTCTACCTGTCCAACCATCAGTGTACAGGTGTGTGTTTTAGTTCTTCATTTTCTCAAACTGCCTTAAACGTGGAAGCAGTTTTGTTTTGAGGGTTTTCAGACTTGTAATTGCCATACATTTTTGCTTTCCAGCCATGTGGCATTTTGCCTGTATTACAGCTTGGATGTTTAAATCCTGCTCAAATGTCTATTGAAACTTATCTAATAAAGACAAAGAGGTGTTTAAACTAGCTAAATATACTGTGACCTGTTTTTTTATTTTTTTTTTTGCTTTTTCACCTATGAATTTCTTATTTTGAAGACTTAATGCAGAAGGGCAAGTATTTTTATCTATTGGAGCAGGAAAAAAATAGGACTTTTTTCATATTAACACGAAAGGCTTACAGTCCAGTACGTCCACAGTGCATTTTGCTTTTGAAGAACAATAATTTGATCTCATTAGCGCTTTTAAAAGCTGACATCTTATTTTAAGGTCTGCATTTTCCTTTGCAATAGTATTTTAACCAACACAAAATTAAGTTGGTTGAGAGATTAATGTTCTTTTGCTGTTTTGCTAAAATGCTGTTTCTGCACATAATAGCATAAAGAAGATTCTTCCCCCCTTTTCCTTCACTGTCTTGTGTTTTCTTTTTCTGGCAGTTGACTGGATAATTGCAGACATGCTAGCCATCAGACAGGATGCCCTGGGCCATTTGCGATATGTTTTAAAAGATGGACTGAGGTGGCTTCCTCTGTATGGGTGGTACTTTTCTCAGGTATGCCTTGCGATGTGCTGTATATGGAATATTCCCGCCGAAGAAGGCAAATGGCTCAGTAACAGGTGTTTTGGCCAGTGGGAATCCCTGAAATGTTACACTGTTACAGTGAAAATCAGGACTTCGATATGTTGCAAAGACTCTGTGTAATGTTTATTTCATGTTTCCCAGCATGGAGGCGTGTATGTGAAGCGTAGTGCCAAGTTTGATGAAAAAGCCATGAAAAACAAGCTCCTATCTCAAACAAAAATAGGAACTCCTGTAAGTATTCATGTTTGTTTCGCAATGGCAATTCCTTAGCAGGAAGTTTATTGTGTTTTTACAAATCAGGTCTTCATTCTTAAATGAGAAGCACCAGGTTCTGCTCTGTGGGATGTTATATTCCAGAAAACGTAAAGTATAGATCTCTTTCCGCCAATTATGGAAGTGTACCAGTTTTTAGTAATGCATGCTCTGGCTGGAATCTCACTAACATAATAGAAATTCAGGCTTTTGCTACTTTTGAAAATAAAACATGAGCCATTTATGGAGATGTTTTTTTTTTAAATAACCCAAAGCATTTTGTTTTAGAGGAATCATTTTAATTTCATTGTTACCAAGGATTCCAAATTTAAAAATTTTCTTGTCTAAGTAATTAGAAGATTGTTTAAAAAGCATGGTATTTATAAATGAAGTAGAACAGTTGTTACTCAGATGTCAATCAGATTAATCATTGTGAATGCTGGTTTCATGAATTAGCAGACATGCCTTCTAAAGATATTATTTTTTTCTATTTGTAAAAAGGTATTTCTTGCCAAATGACTTTTTCCCATGACACTTGGTGAGCTCTATGGCTCAATGACTGGGGACCTCTCCAGTGTGTTCTGCTAGATTACAGCCTTGTGTTTTCTGTCTTGGGCTTACAATTTTACAGTTCATGTGACAACACTTGATGTATCCCAGTTGTTTTGTTTTTAAATAACTTTAAAAACAACTGAGAGACAGTTGATTCGTAAGACATATAGGATGTATTGTTTAAAAGCCAAGTATGATTGAGCTCACTTGTTTGGTTTTATCTCGGTTCAGATCTTTTTGTTTTTTTGCACGTAATGGTAGGCTGGGTTCATCTTTTACTGTATGTGGATTCTGAAAATGTATTCATATATCATCCATGTGAAGTGCCCTGGGCAAGGGTATAACATCAGTATCTCCCCTGGGCTTGGATCTGATGAAATATAATTGAAACTGTACTAGATAAACTGATCTTCTAGATTTTTTTGTGTTTATGGTGAATACACAATATTAATTTCTACAGTGCATAGAAAGCTCCTGGGTACTGTCCTGTAGAGCCACTATGATGATGTTTTTTGTATCTTTCGTATCCCTACAGATCAATATTTTGGAACACAGCAGTGCTGTTCATCTTGTGATTTAAATTTAATCCAAATGTCTGGTGTAATTCATTTCAACAGGGTACAAAGTAGCTCAGCAATCCTTTTTTTGTGGACATGTTCACACTCTATACTGCAGAGGAATTGCTAAATTCCTTTTACATGCAGACTGAAAGATATTTCCAGTGTGACCTGTAACTTGAGTTCTAAAATTTAATGTCTATTTACTGATGTTTTAATTACAGTAACGTAAGTCTTGATTCGATATTATTGGTCGATATGTATAAGCACTGTTATTTTTGCTTTTCTTTTCCTCCTAGATGTATCTTGTAATTTTCCCAGAAGGAACACGTTACAACCCAGACCTCCGAAAAGTGATAAGCGATAGTCAAGCTTTTGCAAAAAAAGAAGGTATGTCTTTTGCATCTCCATTGTGGAGCCAGTAAGTTGTAAACAGAACTTCACCAAATCTCCTTCAGCACCAAAGAACAATCCAACAATTTCCCACCTCAATTTTGAAGGTCTATGCTGATGTAGTATTTTCATAATCGATTTCACAAGAGCAGGTCTGTGGTTTGATGGGGGCCTGACAGGGTACTTTTTATTTAGTTGGTTGGAAGGATTGTTTTTTTAACTTAAAAGACATTAAATTCCTTTTCTTGGTGTGGCTGGAGTTCTCATTTTTGGTCATCAAGGCACATGTTGTTATACAGGATATGTCTGTACTGACACTGCAGCCCCAGTCATAGTATGAAGCTGTTTATAAGTGGTTCCTTAGTAGATTTACAAATGAGACTGTGACATACAGTACTGGATATGATGTTTTAACTGGCCTCTACAGTTAAGTGACCCAGTTGCAAATAACAAAATTGTCGTTTTCCCAGAACTTGGTACTGCAGCAGGGAATTGGGTGCAATTTATGTAGCTGTGGAGCAAGGTAACATTGTTTTAGTTCTAGTTTGCTTTGCTTGGCATTCGTAGCAAAATCTCATGACCTTAATGTTTGTTGATAGTGTTAGAATTAAACCTCTGTCAAAATTAAAACCAGTTTATGGATTTTATTCTTCACTGTTGTCAATGCACTACAGGCAGTTTGCCAGATCTCTAAAAGATCTCTAAAAACTTGAACCAGTGAATTGGTCTTAGTATAAAATATGTACTAAGTATTGACTTAAAATTCTTTTGATTACTGATATGAGGAACAATGTGATAAATGTATAAATGTGACCAGAAGACTGATAGTTTACGTAAGTAAGAGTACGTTGTGAAATGTGTAATTATGTGTTCGTACTCTAAATGTATTAATTTGTTTCTGTGGGGAAAATGTTTTATCTTCTGAAGATCACACAAGTTTAAAACTATAACATACACCACCTAACTAAATTTAGGCCATTTTAAAGAATTACTGTAGACAGATGCACTGAGTCGGCCAGTACCCACACCTGCGTGTAGTGTAAGATAGATGTTTGAGTAGAAGGCGAGATAAGGAGCGCCATAAATTCAATCCTTAATGTTGCTATATAGGGCTGTAAAACCTTTTAATCATTACAGCCACATAGGCTTTGAATGCCAAGTTCTATGTACAGTAATTAGAGTATATGTGAGATTGTCTTTGGAGCTGTTGTATGTCACGTGATTGTTGGAATACTAGGTTGTGTGCCAATACGTAGAAGAGGTAAAATGTTTGTCAAAAGCTTTGAAATGTCCCAAAGTAATCATGTAACAGTTAAAGTTGCAGCTTGCATTTGTGGTTCCAAAAGTGCTTTTGTGAACTTCCTGTTATTTTGTAATGGAGGGATATATGTAATTGTGAACACTGCTAAGACACTGAGCAGTGTATTAAGATTATTATAGCCACTTTTTCAGTATGTGTGCTGTAGAAAATATACATTTTGAAGCTTGTGTTGACATTGTTCCCTTCTATGTTGGAAATTTAAGCAGCATGATACAACACGAGTCTGGCTATGTGAATCTCAGTACGAGTATTATCTACACCTTTAGTGGAAGTGTTTTTTTGCAGAAATTCAACTTACTTAGAAAAATATTTTGTTTATATTTGTTTATATTTCTGAAAAGATTTAAAAAATATCCCATGTCGGTTCCATCAACATCAGGATGTGGTTGCCAGTTACAGTTGTCCCTGAATTTGCTTGGCCCCCAATATTTGTGGTTCTTGGCCTGATAGTTTGTCCGTGGAGAATAACTGTGCTACTAAAAAATGAGCTGTCAATTATGCAGTGTATTTAAATCATGTACGCAGTGTACATACTCTGATCTAAAAAAATTTGGATGAAATGCAGAAATCATTATTCATTTGAAACAGGCTGGTGAAAAGTTGTGAATTTGCATTGCAGCACTGGGAACCACAGGAAACAAGAAGGTTTCCAAAGCACATAAATAAACCTGACAAAAATGATTGGACAGAAAGCAATGTATGGTAGAACTTAGGGGTATCGACTGACTTCCCTTTGTTGTCATTAAGACTCCACAGGGTATGTTTTTATTATCAGCTATATTTTCCAGATACATCCAGCCACTTCTGTCAAAGCGCTTATTAAACTTATGCTTGTGACATGCTGTACGTCTGTTATATTCCAGTCATATGATTTGTGTTTGGGTGTTTTTCATGTGAAGGACTTGCAGTTCTGAAGCACGTACTGACCCCCAGGATGAAAGCAGCCCATATAGCCATAGAGACGATGAAGGGTCACCTGGATGCTGTTTATGACGTCACCGTTGCTTACGAAGGAACTGTAGATGCCAGGGGTCAGAGGGGGGCTGCACCTTCCATGCCAGGTAAACGCCTTGGAGAATTGTGATGACCATTGTAAGTTTCTTCTGAGCTTCTCTTCTTTCTGGTGAGCGCGTTCAATTTGTGATAGTTTATTTCTGGTTGTTTCAAGAATACATTTAGAATTGGTCTGTGATCTGTTATTGTCTGTTTAGCCTTTGGTGGATTTTTATTAAACCTCTCACCCAGAACATACTGGGGAAAAAAAGAAAAATTCTGTGGCAGTATTGTACACAGTTCCATGAGCAAAGAAATGATTGGGTGCTGTCTGACTGCTGTCAGGAGGAACCAGAGGTTTTTACTGCAAGAGTTTTCTTTTTTCCTTTATTCAGACATTTCCTGTGTAGCCTCAGTGTTCGTGTATTCCACACGCATTGTCCAGGGTGACAGCCCAGCGCTGAGTATACATTATTATTACAATAGTCAAGAGACTGTGTATCTTAGTTGCTCGGCAGCTGACAATGTATGCAAAGTTTACGTTAAGTGCATGTACAAGGGAAATGGTAGATATAGCATGAAAGTACAGTACAGTTATAATGACAGTAAATCACATAGTTTGGTTTGTTTCTGCTGAATAAAATGTAATCTGTACAACTTTTTGGCAAAAGTTTTGATTGTTTCATTTTAAAGTATTTTTATTAGCTCTTTCTTTGCAGTGTATTGGAATCACTGCCATGTGGAAAAGTTAATTACTTCCAAGGCTGAGAGACAGTCTGCAATCCATTCCTTGACTTCACCTGTGTCTACAGACTAGGGTGACAGTCCAAATAATTCTGACTTTACCACTACAGCAAGTGACTCAATCAATTAAATGGCCTATAGCTCTAAAAGACTGCAGTTCCTGACTTAAGTGAACAAATTAACATCATTGCTGAAAAGCTCACATGAGCTCCCAGTCTTGAGAAATACTGTAACTCACAAGAGGTGCTGCAATGGTGTCTTCCAGGACCAACAATGTAATGTTCAACCAATCTTCTCTGAAAATGTTATCATTCATTCTTTTATTTTTATTTTATTCATTTGGATGATATATCCAGAATGCCTTACATTTGACAATTCTGCTTGGTTTTTGTCTGTGAGAGGACTGCTATTGAGTCTGGGCTGGGTCTACTCTGTGTAGAACTGCAGTGCTATTTTTATATTCTGGGGTTAGAAAGAATCGGCATTGAGTGCATTTCAAACCACAATGAAAGTAAAATGTACACAGGAACGTGTAAATCGCCAATTTACATCACAAAATAGATAGTTTCCAGGTATGTGCAACACCATATTTTGTGATTCAGAATTAAGCAACAAAGCATATGGTGATATGAAATTTCCTATGACATGGTAAAGAAGCAGCTTGTCTGCTTTTCTCTTTTATTCCAGTAGAAATATTGCTCTTGATTTCAAGACGGTTTTGCTGACAAACACTACTTGCTAATTAACTCTGCATCCAGATCACATTGGAAAATTTCTGCTGTGAAATGTCTGCTGCGTAATCTGTACTTATTCGCTCGTACATCACAATTACATCAGTCATTCCCGTGACTAGTGAGCAGGAAGGGCCGCGTCCCGTCACAATTCGTGGGAACTCTTTCTCACCGTGGTGAGACCGGGGGTTCGCAACAACATAGCAACTTACAGTACTTTCACAAAGTTCACAATTTTGTGTTTAATTCAAAATTTGTAAAAATGTTCTATACTGTCAATTTATTTATTTTGTTGCTGAGATTTAATAACCGTTCTTAGGAATTGGGACTACAGTTCCCCTTTTAGTGCAGTTTTTAATATTTTCATGACGCATTGAGATAACACACTGGATTGCTGCTTGAAAGCAAGGACTTCAGAGTTTGTGAGTGAGCTTTGTGATGCTTACTGGACTTTGATTGTCATCTGTTCCAAAAAATTTGGAGCTTTAAATATTGGTTTTGGCTTTAGAGTTGTTTTGAGTGGCATCCCTGTTCTTTTTTTGATCTTTGAAAAATGTGGTTTCTTTACAACATTGCAAATAAACTCCTAAGCTGTTTCCATCATTATCCAGCCTTCGTAAATTTCAGAATTCTAAAACTTCTTTAATGTGAAATTTCCTTCTTCAGTTCGAATGATTGGGGTTAGTTCTGTGATTGGCTCCAATGAAAGCCTGGTTTAATTTATCAAGCATTTTTAGTGGTTTCTAAGTTCATTATTTTGCTCTCATATATTGCAAATAACTGCATGAAGAATAAAAATAAGTGATCAGCAAATATTTATGCAACTTTTGTTTCCAACTTATATAAAGTATAAAAGCAAATGTATAATATCTTCTAATGGCATCATGATCTGATATGCATGTATTTGCATTTTGTACTGCATAGGGTGAATCATCAATAAAACCAAACGAGTACGGCAAGAAAGTTTTCCTAAAGATTTATACTTCAAGAAGTCTCTCAAGATAAAGGAAGAAAATCTCAACTTGACCCAAAGCTACTCAAATCATCTCCAATTCACTGGCAGCAATCCTATTTGCTCAAAACCTAGAATAACTGCTACTAAGAGTTGAAAACGTGCTTGAAACAAGCATCAAGGAAGCTTGAAAATGAGCTTGCCTAAAACTAGATTGTGAAGTTTTTGTTATTAATGTCTTTAGGCAGAAAAGGGTCAACTATTATGTATACTTTGACTTATTGATAGCATTAACCAGAGGTTAGAAATAGGACTAACACCATGCTGGCCCACTTTCGGGAAATTAAGTGTGATTCTACAAGGGGAGAGATGCCTTTTAAAGGATAATCTTTGACTTATGTGTGCCACATGATTAGCATATACAGTAGGTGTAAAACTTGGTCTCCATATGCAAAAATGATACAAAAACTGTAATGGCTGCTTCTTAAGGTGGAGGCTGTGAGTTGTAAGCTGAACCCAAATGCAGGACAAGAGGGAGAACAACAGAAAGTTGCGAGTTGCATGGGAGCGCAGTGAGAAGCATGCAGGCAAGCGAGGTGCAGCTGAAACAGTTGTGATCCGAGGTCAAAGCAAAGTGTGATGCAAACCCGGAGAGAGACCGAGCACAGAGCACTGCAGCGCAAGGGGAAGAGGTGTGTTGATGTACTTCGTCATCAAGCTGGAGTTCTCGGTGTAATTATGAAGAGAAGCGAGACCTTGTTTTGCTTCTTAAACCTAGTTAAACCCTTAAGCTACAAGTGACATATCAATATATGTGTACAGGTTCTGTTGCAATGATACATTAATGTGAGAAAATTCATCAAAAACAAAAATTAAAGTGAATCATCTGACATTAAGATTTTTGGAAGCCACATTTGCTGGGACCATATACATTTAATTAATATTCACATCCCTGTTCCAGAGAGTAATGTGTGCACGGTTTACTGTATATGAAGGCTCTCATAGAAAAATGTAACTAGAGGAAACCTATTGTTTTCTTTTGCCCCTGAAATCTAGCAAATTATTAATTGGATGTGCAGATGACACAGTGATGTGTAGCAGAATAAGCTGAAAGTAAAAAAAAAAAATAACACCTTTTAAGTTTCAGGATCTTGGAATAAACAAATAGCCATTCTTAAAGAATATCTGATAGATTGTGTATTCTTTGTTAAGAGGCAGGTCTTGGGACTTGCTTGACTTCTGCAGTGCTTTGCTGTCCAGTTGCTATCAATTGTTATAAGTGGAGTTCTGTAGTCTGTTAGTGTTGTTGCACAGACTTCCCATTAGCAACCCTGTTGTGCACACCAATCAACACATCTATTTGCATGTCAGACTTAGGGACACCTATCAGAATGGTTTATGCAACATTTTCATGCATCACTGAAACATGTTTCCACTTGAGGTGACTTTGTTCAGCCTTCAACATTCAGAATACAAGGAGGTGTCATTGTCCTGATTAGAGAGACTTATTCATTTCAGTATTTTCCTTTCTTGATCCTCAGCACACTATGTCACCAGATCACCTGAGCCTGGGAAGCTTGCTCAAGTGAGGTGATTTTCTCATGATCAAAACGGATTGGAATAAAGCCAAGAACCTTTAATCGGTTTCCAAAATAGATATACGGGTTCTAACAACCTAGATGTATGAAGGATTTAGCTGAAAGCCATATACAGTATATATACAGTCATGTATGTATACTGTAGATGTCTTAGTTGTATATTGCATTTTAATGTCCAAAAAATGAACATTTGCCATTATAGTTAAAAGAAAAAAATCTGTTTTTTTCAATTAACTTTAGCATATACAGGAATTGCGTCAATGTTGTTAACAACTTTTTTTTTTCTTGTGGACTTTAAGGAAAACTGATGTAATCTTGCTTTTTAAATTACTGTGGTTGAGATAACCAAAACATTCTATACAATAAGCTTTGCTGAGATTAGCAGTAATTATATTCCTCGGAATAATTTAGAAATTGTAGTGGAGTAATCAAGGTATTACGTTAATGGCGCAATGTTTTGTTAATCACAGGCTGCTTGAATGGTGTTTTCAACTAAATACAAAACAGTTCACGTCTCTTGCTTTGTACATTTAGTATTTAATAACCATTTCTTGATGTAAAAGTTTTTAGAACTAATTAAAAATAAACAATTGTAATATGGGAATTTTAATTTCATTCAGCTTCCTGTAAACAACATTATGACGTGCTGTTTTTGTGTAGTGTGAATTCTCACAGAGCTATACCGAACGTTTTGAAGCTAAAAATGTGAAAACATCCTGTTATTGACCGGAATAAACATCAGTGGCATGCAAGGAAGAAAGAATTTAAAATTCTTTCTTACTCTTCCATTCATGACTCCCTTTTGTTTTGTATCTCTGTACAAAAGCCTTCATTTAATCTTGCAGTGCATGACATTGGCAGGTGGTTTTTTGGTTTAATTACTGCTAACGCACTCTGTAATCTGAAGTGACACCCGGTGGTTACAGAAATAAATGGCAGATGAACTCAGTCCGTATCAGCCCAGTCCTAATTAGATGGTAGGAAGATTGTGGAGGTACTGATTTCCTAAGGTTGTTAAGCATGCTTAGTACACGTATTGCTAGTTTAACAGCTTTGGTATTATTTATCTGCAGTATTTGCATTGATATGGAATGTGCAGCTTTCTTAAGATCTTCTTTTTAAATCAGCAGAAGAAATGATGGAAGTGCTCAGCGATAACACTGATGTTCAGTTTTTATGACCAAGCTACAGGTAGTAGTATTGCTGATCTTCTGAGTCAGGTCTTTTTGATTCCATTGTTTGCCCTTTTGGTCTGTTGATTTTTCTTTTTTCTTTTTTTTTTAAATGACCTCCCAGTTTAGCCAATACAGTAATTAACTAATCGGAATCATTTTGTGAGCAACAATTGCCACTTGGCCTGCCGTGGTTTTTATGCAGTTTAACTGTGTTGTCTTTTGAATGCTGATGATAGGTCAAAAGGTCATTGTTGAGGAGGAGCTACGTTTCCAGGCTTTGCTTCACCGTGAGGCTGGTGGCCTTGTACGGACAGGAATCTTAGTGCGGTGTTTCCCAACGCTGAGGCAGTTTAAGTTGCGAGAGCAACCCAACGGGTGTGTAGCCATTGTGGTTTATGACTGAGCGACTGTGGCTCGGGTATGAATCATAGTTTGCACACAGTGATGTTTACCGTCCGTGGTAGAAATGGGAGGGATTCGGCAGTCAGGTGGCCATCTCGTTTCCACAAAAGCCCGTTTTCTCCCACGTTCGTCCTGTTGACACTATAACCATACTGATCGGCTCTTGACTGGGAGCAGTGTGTCGTGGGTCACAATAGCCTTGAGTCATGTCATACTTGAAAAAGCTATTTGAGTAGGGAGCTCCGCCGGCATGTGAATAAACCTTTACATTTTCCTAACTACATTGGTTATCTGTCTCGGTATAGCCATGTGAATTGAATTAATTTTAAATTGCAGAAATTAGCTAAACTCTGTACCAGAGTTCTATTCCATGACCAGGACAGGGAAAAGTTTTGCGGAACGGCTTGGCCTTGATTTATTAAGGCAGCAAGCAAGCAAAGTGGCTATAGCCTTTATTTTATTCTCAGTTTAATACAGGCTATTAATACAGTGTATTAAGGAGTCCAATATGAAGACGGGATATAAAATTGTATGCAGTAATGTCTTACTGCATATCCCATGTTTGTAATAATGCACATAAAATAACCAATACAGGGAGCTTTTATTGGAACATCCCTTAAAACAGCTTTAGATTTTGCTTTGTCGGGTTAAGGAGTATCCAGATAGCAGATAGCTCACATACCTGCCAGGCACTGTGGGCGATTGACCAGTCTCCTAGGTACTAGTGGGACATGTGGGCTTAATAAATACTATTTAGTTTACTTACCTGGGAAACATCATGTTGGAGAGCAGAGCTTCGTGTTTTTCAAGGCCTATAAAATGCACTGGTTTTCGTGGGAATGTGCTCTATAAGAACACCAGTTTTGAGTTTAAAATATCTTTTCAAAGAGGTATTTTTACTTTCAATAAACATCCAAATTTTGCATATTTCTTGAATGTATTAAAATGCAAATTTAAGTGAACCTCCATTGCATCTCTATTGAGGATGATTTGATAGTTCATTTGTAGTGAACATTTTGCTGCTTTAGATTCCTTCAGTGCTGAATTCATTTGTAAATTGGTCTTATAAACTGTTGTTCGTTCTGTTCAGGCATTTATAAGCAGTGCTACGCAGTTGATATGTAAGTTTAAAGGGCAGATTGTTTACAGTAGAGTTTTGTTAGCCTTCCAGCTTAATATATGAAGTGTTCATTTAAGTTTTGCTTTTTTTTTGCAATTTATAAATTCTTTTCATGTTGACGTTCTCGCTTTGTGGTTTACAGAGCAATAGTCACAGAATGGCTACACCAAGGTTTGATTTTCTTAGCGTTATTGCTTGACCTCTGGGGAGGTTCAAGTGATGTGATGTTAAAGTTTATGGGACTGCCCTGTTTCTCATGAGTATATTGTGATAAAATCCAGCTGTTTCAGCTTGATAACATGTAACATAACAAATTGCCCTCATCCACTAGGATGCATTAATGATTGTCCTAGAGATTGGATTAGTTGTATTAAAAATCTGGATGAATTGGATAATTAAAAGCATTTCCTTTCGGTCTTTACAAGAAACCTATGCTTTGTAAGTGAAAATAAGAAATGACCAAATTGTTTCAAAAACTGACACTTATTGTTAGATGGTTTGTCATCCTTTCATTAACCAACTAAAATAACCGGTGAAATGAGCTAAAAACAGACTTCCTAAGATAGCCATCCGATTTTACGTGACAAGTTTTTTGTGCGATCTTTTAATCTAACCTACGTCAAATTCTTGATTCTGGCAGTCGCAGAAGAGAGACCAAAGGTTTGGTGTGACTTAATCTGTGTTTGCAGTGGTTCACAAATTGACAAATTTTTTTCGTGTCAAGGTATGTTCTATAAACAGTGCTAAATTGTTTTTGCTTTACTGAGCACATTTTCATATGCTGATGATTTGTCTTCAAAAACTGAGTTCTAATGTTTTTTTTACATGTTTTGTCAGAATTCCTGTGCAAGGAATGCCCCAGAGTTCATATTTATTTTGAAAGGGTGGATGTGAAAGAGGTTCCTCAAGAAACGGTGTTCTTTCGGCGATGGCTGCACGAGCGATTTGAGATTAAGGACAGGTGAGTTTATCTAAAACATTTATACAAAACAATTACCTTTATTTTACAAGAGTCTTGTCTATGTGCACAGTTGTACAAACTAAAACCCCATTTTCAATCCGAATGGCAAACGTGTTTATTTAAGAAATATTTACACATAATGGTGACATTTGTTTTGAAAGTTTACTAACTGCCTTGGAAAACAATTGCACAAACTAATCCGAAACCCCCATTTGCAATATACTGTACGTGCAAATGTGGAAGCCTTATTTACCTTTTTGTCAGATGTTGGAGTCTAGCTATGAAAAGATGGTGAAACAGTTAAAAAAGAAGACTGTTAATATCTGTCAAAAGGCTTTTGTGATGCAGTTTAACTATAATTTTTATACAATCTTGAAATGTAAAAAAATGTAATCTAGAAACAATTGGTTTTCACCATATTGCTGTTACAAAGAGACAAATCTGCACTACTGAGGAAACTATCAAAGAGTCTATTTAGCAGTTTAAACTTCAAAAGCATCAGTTTGTTTTCCCCATTTTTGTCATGTTTCATTTCACACTTCTCATGCCTAAAGACCATAACATCCATTATGGTGCATGTTTATATAACCCTTTTCCTGGTGTCAGAATAGCTGGGATAGTTGTCTGAAAATCACAGCATTAAAGGCTTCTGATAAAACTGCTTTTTCACTAGCCTTAACACTTGCATTTAGTAATCAAGCTTCTGACATTTAATTTTTAAAAGAATATCAATGAGTTGTATTTAACTATAACAATTTTGCCTCATATTTATTCAGTATGACAAATGCATTATGTATTTGTGTGACATACTGTAATGTTTTCCGATAGTATTCATTTATTGATAGTTCTTGCGTGAATTACAGCATGAATTCTTTAATTCAGTTAAGGTGAACCTCACTTTAATTCATCCCGAAGTCATAAAAGATTAATAAGGGATGTAGCACAATGTTTTTATACAAATGGATTTATAATCATTGTACTCATTAGCCCATAATGGCTTATTTAAAAACTAAATCTGGTCATTTATTATAGTATTTTACCTTAGCAGTTATTATTGAATTATTCTACACAGGACTGCATCACTTTCTAATCTTGACAGGGTTTCTGTTTGAGAACAAATCTCATCACCTTTACAATTGAAGCATTTGAGTGAGTGTAATTGCAGGTTATTTGAACTGGATGCATTGAAGAGAAGGTCAGAATGTGTTTTTCTCCCTGACAGGTTGCTGACTAGCTTTTACGAGTCTGAAGAGCCTGAAAAAAGGAACAAGTTTCCTGGAGAGAGTCGCAGATCCCCTCTGAGTATCAAGAAGACTTTGCCATCATTGCTCATTTTGGGTGGCCTTACTTTGCCAATGTTATTAACCGAGTCTGGACGGAAACTGTACATCAACACCTGGGTTTATGGGACTTTGGCAGGATGGCTGTGGGTTAATTTTAGGCCATAGGAGAAACAAAATATGTAATGCAGTTTCTAACCTGTTTCAAAATGTCCAGCCCTCTTTCGTTCTTTAACTGGAGAAAGATTTTTTTTTTCTTTGTTTTAAGTTTCAAGCTTTAAAGACCTTTTACATATAGGTGGCTTACGGTGTACCTTTAACCTTGGTAGATTTAGGGGGATAGCTTATCATTTTCTTTATTTGCAACTTTCTTGATCTTGATCTTTGTGCAAGTCATATAAAATCCCAGCCAGTAAACCGTTCAGCATGTGGCTGGAATTTCTACAACGGAGCCAAATCCCAAATTCTGTTTTCCAAGTTCAGAAAGACCTACTGCTTAAAAATGGAAATTAAAAGGGTTCCATAAAACTTTCAGTGTTTTGAAATATTTATGGGTTTAGTTTAACAGTTTGTACATGGATTATTTTAGTCATTAAATTGCTAAACTGGCCTGCACTGATTAGCACTTAATGTAATTGAAAATGAGTTTATATCATTGTCACTCTTTAAACAGGTATGCCATTAACTTGCCAGGCAAGTTAAACAAGTCCAGGCTGTTCCACTTGCACATTAAATTTCCATCTTTTCTTTAAACAGTAAGGGATAACTGGTAAAAATCAATTTGTAAAGATGAGCTTTAAATGCTTCCAGGCATAGCTAATTGCTGGCGGGTTTTGTCATTTTTTGGGTTTTATTGTTTCTTTCAAAATCAGAAAAATGTGTCTTGATCTCATTAATCTGATTTCAGTGTTTGTGTGGTTAACACATGGCTTTAGTTAAATGCAATTGGTGGCAGCTGTCTAGTTCATTCAGTTTCAACTGTTTGAGATGCAAAATATAAATGTTTGTGTGTGCTTTTCAAATAATGTCTTACGGAAACATTTTGAAATTTGTTGCCATACCTGATATTAAGGAAAGTTCATGGAATTTAAAACTTATCAGTATATCTTATTTCATGACAGAAAATGTCTTATTTGCCATAGCGACTAGGATCCGTAGGTTACTGCTTCCTTTTAAAGCTCATTTTTAAGGTACACGAGAGGCAGAATATCAAGATTAGGGAAAAATTGAGATTTACCACCACGAATGGGTTTTTGTGTAATATGCATTTTACAGAAGTAGATTGATGGTCATTTCCCCTGCACCTTACTGAAAGTGAAAGAAAAGGGAGAGAAATGTGGTAATATATAATATGCCAAGTAAAGTGTATTGATGTTGCAGTTGCTGTTTTTCTTTATTTTGTAAGTATGTTTCATTATTTCATTACTTATTCCTTTTTGATATTTTCCTGATCTCAATATGAGAAGTGATCGTTTTTTCAATAATGGCTTTTTTTAGAGCATGCGTGATTTGATATTTTAAAGGGTTTTCTTTTTTTCACTCTTAACTCACGCCATGTAAGTTAGTGCTTTGAATGCCGATAAACTTCAGGAGCTTTACTTGCATATAATTTTATAGGATAAAACAAATGCTTAATTTGGAGCAGTACCACAAGAGTCAAGTATGGAGATCCTCAGCAAAATAAATTCAATCCAGTGTTAAATTATGGTCTTTATGCAATCTGTAGAAGTGAAAAAAGTTTATAAACTATCAGAAAAACTGATAGAAGCTATTTTAAAGTGCCATTTTGATTCAGAGAGTATGTGCCTTCTGCCCACATGGGGTCAATCCTCATCTTACATACTGAGGACAATCATAGCAGAAAACTATTTAGAGGCTACTAACAGCCAGAATTGTTTAATATGATAAATGTGCTGAAACTCCCTCTAGTGGACTAGTTATTATCATCATAGCACAGTCTGTAATTAATGTGTATTTTAAAGAAATTGTTTACAGTACATTACACAAATAGGTTTGATTTACTATTAAGACTCAGCCTTTTTACACTTTGAAGCCAAACAGTTCGTTTTTAATGGCATGTGCATGGCAAGCTTGATATTTGAAGGGAGGATCTAAAGTACAGGGGCTAGGTGAGGGGCGGTATTGATCATGCTTCTTTGATTATTGGTTTCGTTCTACCTAACAAGTCCCGGAGCAGAGAACTGACTCGTCTCCTAAAACGCATAGTGACCGCACTGAAGAGGAGGGTATCTCATAAGTGTATGGGCAGGCCCTTGTGTTCTTGCAGGTTTAGAAAAACCGCACAACTGCGGAGTGTAACCAGCTGTTAAATATTAAATGCCTGAACTGAAATCTTCCCCTTTTCAAACTATACATATGCTTAATGTGATCTGTCTACAGTATGTTGGTTATGAACCCCAAAATAAGATGGGCTCACTCACCCATTGCACTACCAAGTCTTTATTGCTAATAGCGACTTTTACCTGACTTTTTTTTTTTACCATGAAAAAATAAGATACAGAAAGATAACTGCCTACAGGTGGTTGCCCAACATTTGTAGCAGCTGTACTTGACTCGGAAAAAACTACTACAAGACGCAGCAGAGCAGATTCTCCCTTCAGTTGTTGCAATAGAAGTAATAGTAAATTTGACAGCTGCTTGTATTTTGATCCTTTGAGTTTGTATAAGCAGCAGGTGCCAAGTTGTCTATCCTTACAAAAGAAAGAAAGAGAACTCTTATCGGTGCTTCTTGTGTTTATTTCAAATAAATCTGTAACCCAGAGATTAGACTGAGCCCATGCACCCTCACCCTCTGTG